GTGAAAACGCAGTCTGAATTCCATTAAAATGCTATCAGAGCAATCAAATGAGAGGCACCTGTTACCCGTCTGACAGTTTGGGTTCAGTTGCTCTTCCATTGCCTGCTAAACTCAGAGGTTAACATTCTGTTTTAAAGATCATATAAAAAGAGAGGGTACAGGAAGAATGCGGCAGGTAAAACAATTTACACGGCAAGGTCGATATTGACCCAAGGGTCAACTCAAAACTTAGAATAAACCATCTCTGGAGCCAGAGAGCCTAGGTTCAAACTCCAATTTCACCACCAACCAGCATCATAATTTTAACAATTCATTTAATTTCTCTGTGCCTCAGTTTCTTCATCTGTAAAACAGAACAATGACAGTACCTACTTCATAGGTAAAGCGCTTGGAACAACGTCTGACATCCGTAAATACCATACAAATACTAGGCGATGTTATCATTATTATTAATTTCCTTACTATTTTTAGACTAAATATTAGGTGAGAAGAAAAATAACATTATAACGTATGCTCAAGCTCCAGTTGAACATCGTTACCCAGTATTTTGCTCACAGTTCAGTAACAATGTTATTTCAGTTGACATCTTCATCCCTGTCTTCTAGGAGCTCACATTCAAAGCAAATCGCTAAGTATTAAGTTAACACCACACGAATGAGGAAGTATGAAGAGGCATAATTCACATAAAAACAGACACACAGATTAATTAACAGAGCCCAGAAATAAACCCATGTACATACAGTCAACGAATTTATGACAAAGGAGCCAAGACTACACGATGGGTAAAGGACAGTCTCTTCAATGAATGGTGTTGGGAAATCTGGACAGCCACATGCAAAAGTATGAAACTGGACCACGACCTCACACCATACACAAAAATTAACTCAAAACAGATTAAAGACTTGAACGTAAGACCTGAAACCATAAAACTCCTAGGAGAAAACTTAGGCAGTAAGCTTCTTGACATACATCTTGGCGATGATTTTTTTAATCTGACACCAATCAAAAGCAACAAAAGCAAAAAATAAACAAGTGAGACTACATCAAACTAAAAAGTTTCTGCAGGGAAACTGCTAACAAAATGAAAAGGCAACCTACCGAATACGACAAAGTATTCGCGAATCATGTATCTGACGAGTGGCTAATATCCAAAATATATAAAGAACTCATACAACTCAATATCAAAAAAAACGAACAATCTGATTAAAAAATGAGAGTATCTGAATTGACATTTTCCCAAGGAAGACACAAAGATGGCCAACAAATACATGAGAAGATGCTCTACATCATTAATCATCAGGGAAACGCAAATCAAAACTGCAATGAGACACCACCTCACACCTGTTAGAATGGTTATTAGCAAAAAGACTAAAAATAACAAGTGTTGGAGAGGATGCGGCGAAAAGAGAACCCTCATACACTGCTCGTGGGAATGTAAACTGGTGCAGCCACTATGGGAAACAGTATGGAGGTTCCTCAAAAACTAAAAATACAACCACCATACGATCCAACTATTCCACTTCTGGGTATTTATCTGAAGAAAATGAAAACGCTAACTCAAAAAGTTATACGCACAGGCCAGCCTGGTGGCGCAGCAGTTAGGTTCACCACATTCTGCTTCAGCGGCCTGGGGTTTGCCGGTTCAGATCCCGGGTGGGGACATGGCACCGCTTGGCAAGCCATGCTGTGGCAGGCATCTCACATATAAAGTAGAGGAAGATGGGCACAGATGTTAGCTCAGGGCCAGTCTTCCTCCGGAAAAAGAAAAAGTTATATGCACCCTCCTCCAAGTGCATTGCAGCACTATTTACAATAGCCAAGACTTGCAAACAACCTAAGTGTCCATCAATGGATGAATGGATAAAGAAACTGCAGAATATATATATATATAATGGCATATTACAAACCCATAAAAAGAACAAAATCTTGCCATTTGCAACAACATGGATGGACCTTGAGGGCATTATGCTAATGAAATAGGTCAGACAGAAAAAAAAATTGGTAAAATTAAGAAGCTGCAGGTATTTAAAAAAAAAAAAAAGGCAAGGAATTGTTAAGTGCATTCAAGAATTTTCCATGCAAAATGATTGATTCCAGTCAATATGATTTTCCCTTTCTATTTCTATTTCTATTACCAATCTTCTTTTTTTTTTTTCTTATTTCTCCTTCTCCCCAAAGGCCCCCATCTTCTAGTTACAGGTCCTTCTGGCTCTGCTATGTGGGACATCACCTCAGCGTGGCTTGATGAGTGGTGTCATGTCCACGCCCAGGATCCAAACCTGTGAAACCATGGGCAGCCAAGGCGGAGCGAGAACTCAACCACTCGGCCACAGGGCTGGCCCCAGGGGTAAAAATTCCAACTATCCAAAACTACTCCTTCCCTGAGGGCCCCAAACAAAAGAGTCATCCTGAGCAATCCTATCTGCCATTTATCTCATTCTCAAAAATAAGGAAGGTATGTGTGTAGGTAGAGCATAAATTAAGCTTTCTACATGTTTTAACTCTGGGTACATGAGAACTTAATATTAAAGATATTAGAAAGTGTCAAATCATTTGAATAGATGAGTGAACAATCATGTTCACTCAGAATTATGTGACTATTGTAAAAAGCCTAGAATTTGATCATTAATAGTAGAGTTATTTAAAAAAAAAAAAAAGTACAGGGGACAGCCCAGTGGCAGAGCAGTTAAGTTCACACTCCACTTTGGTGGCCTGGGGTTCACAGGTTCAGATCCCAGGTGCAGACCTACACATCACTTACGAAGCTATGCCGTGGCAGGCATCCCACATATAAAGCAGAGGAAGATGAGCACGGATGTTAGCTCAGGGCCAATCTTGTCCAGCAAAACGAGGAGGATTGGTGGTAGATGTTAGCTCAAGGCTAATCTTCCTCAAAAAAAGAAAAAAAAAGTACAGACTTTGAAGTCATATACAGACCTGAACTTAAAGCCTGGCTCCACCATTTAGTTACTAAGAATTTTTGGCAAGTTAATTTCACATAATTGAACCTTAGTTTCCCTCTCTGTAAACTGAGAAGTGCCTACTGACGGATGAATAGACAAAGAAAATGTGGTATGCATACACAATGGAATATTATTCAGCCATAAAAAAGAATGAAATCTTGCCATTTGTGACAAAATGGATGGACCTTAAGGGCATTATGCTAACGAAATAGGTCAGACAGAGAAATACTGCAAGATCTCACTCATATGTAGGATCTAAAAAAAAAATGATGTCATACAAACAGAGAAGGAATTGGTGGTTGCCAGAGGGGTGGGGGGTCTGAGGTGTCAAAAGGTGAAAACTTCCAGTTATAAAATAAATAAAACATGGGGATCTAACGTACACCATGGTGACTATAGTTAATAATACTGTATTGTATATTGGAAAGTTGTTAACAGAGTAGAACTTAAAAGTTCCCATCACAAGAAAAAAAATTTTGTAGCTATATATTGTGACTGATGTTAACTAGACTTATTGTGGTGCTCACTTCACAATATATACAGATACCAAAGCATTATGTTGTACACTTGAAACTAACATAATGTTATATATCAATTACACCTCAATAAAAAATTTTAATTTAAAATAATAATAATAATAATTCCTAATTCATAAGGTTGTTGCGTAAGCTAAGGAGAAACCACATGCAACATGTTGAACACAGTCCCTGTGATACAGCAGAAGGTCAACAAAGGGCAACTACTGTTACTCCCTAACCTTATTACACTTTGTCCCTCAAATATAAGAAGAACCCAATCTTAGCAATGAGCAAGTCATTCACAAGCTTCTCAGAATTATATGAAGTAGGGTATGTACTATTCACAAATGAAATGTAATGGGCTGGCCTGGTGGTGTAGTGGTTAAGTGCATGAGCTCCACTTCAGCAGCCCAGGGTTCACCGGTTCTGATCCCAGGCACCAACTTATGCACTGCTTATCAAGCCATGCTGTGCCAGGCAGCCCACATATAAAGCAGAGGAGGACAGGCACGGATGTTAGCTCAGGGACAGTCTTCCTCAGCAAAAAGAGTATGGCAGCAGATGTTAGCTCAGGGCTAATCTTCCTCAAAAGAAAAGGAACATAGTAAAAGTAAAATAAAATACAAAACCAAACCATCAATCAGATAAAAGATTTCAGAATCCTGCTTTTCCTCCCATATCTATTCTGGTTGGATTTGTTAACAATCTGTATTCCTTTATCAACAATATGAATCCTATTATTTTTCGGGGGGTCCTAACATTGCTAGTGGGGTTCTGTTACTTATTTGTTTTGATGGCTAACTGGGCAAGGATAATTGTCATCACTGCTTGAAAACCAAAAAGAAATCCAAGAAGAAGGACCATTTTAATGAAACGTTGTAACTGTTCCACCCATCTCAACAGTTGATTAGACCCCATGTTAGATCATCTATTATCACAACAGATTTTCACATTACTGCACCCCTCCCTTTGCAAAAAATACATGCGTTAATGAGCAAAACTCCAGACCGACAAAGAACGAAATGTTCTTTAGAGACACCAAAACTCAAAACTTGGTGCTCCCAGTAAGGATCCTCGGGGAGATGGGAGGTGGATGGGTTTCACTGCGAGAGAAAATGAACAGCATCGGAAACTGTTCCCTCCGTAAACAAGCCTAGAGATGAGCCCTGTGGGGCTAGGAGCGGAGAGGGGAGGGCCACGTGGGCCGGGAAGCAAGAGAGGAAGGCGGCGGCAACTGTAGGCTGAGGAAGGGTCTGCCCCGGGGGAGAGGAGAGTCGGAGCCGAACGCCACCCCGAGAGCGCAGGCGGACAGAAGTGGCCACTCAGCCAAGTCCCCAGGAAGGACCGGTTTAGCCTCAGGATGGATGGACTGAGGGGAATGTGTACCCGGCCGACCGAAGAAAGACGAGGGTAGGGGCGCGTTCTCGGTCGCCTTCAGATCGGGACGCTGCTGTCCCCGCAGCCATCCTGGCGAAGAAGGAGAGAAAGGCAGAGACCCAACAGGGAGCGCACAGGTTACCTGTCTCAGCCGCCTGCCCACCGGTCTCCACTTCCGCAGACTTGGGGTTACCACGGGCTACCCGGGCACGCGCAGAGTGACGTCATCCACGCGCGCCCGGCCGCCGTCTGCCTGGCCCGCCCCCTTGGGAGGAGCTGGGCTGGGCCGCTGCGGGGAGGTCTGCGCAGGCGCGGGGCTGCGGCGGGCCTGGGACCGCGCCAAGAGCCTCATTTGTTTGGGGTGTTGTAGGGCTGCCCTGTTACCAAACAAAATACTCCTAATTGCAAAATCTTGTGGACACTTAATTAAAAAAAATGTAATTGAAATACAAAAGTGCCTTTTCTATTCCTTGCTTTACTCTGCCTCTGCTATTACTGTTGTTTACATACTCATTTGTTCCACCACAATTTATTCAAGTCCTACTGTGCACCAGGAAAACCCTGTTACAGAATCTAGGGTACAGCGATAAACAAAAGAGACACTGTGCCTACCCGCATGGAGATTACCTTCTAGTTGGGAAAGCAAACATTGACTAACTCAACAAATACATATGCATTCGTACAGATGACAAGTGTGTGGAAGGAAAAGAATAAGTTGCTCAGAAACTGAAGGGGGGAGGGGTGCCCCTTTAGTGTGAAATATCAAAAAAACACCCCCTGAAGAGGATCATTGAACCGAGAAGAGAAAAAGCCAGCTCTGTAAAGATCTGGAGGAAGAGCAACCAAGAGAAGAATCAACATGTTGGAAAGCTATGGGGAGGGGACAGAATGCGGTGGTGCCCTTGAGGAAGTGAGAAAGTAGACTAGGGGAAGAATAGAAAATGGGATCAACAAGGCAAGGAGAGTCCTCCTCTTGCGGAGCCTTTCTAAGTCATTGTAAGAGGCTTGGATTTTCAGCGTAATGGGAAGTCAGTGAAGGGTTTTAAACGCATGAGTGACAAGATCTGGTTTTATAAGCTCACACTGGCTACTGTGCATACAATGAAATATTGGGAGGCAAGAAAGGATACAGAAAGAACAATGGCTTTTGTGATGACCAAGTAAGAAATGACGGAGAGAAGTGAACAAATTTAAGAAATAATTTGGAGGTAGATATGACGGACTTGGAGATGGATTAGATAAGAGTGATAAGCAAAAGAAAGGAGTCAAAAATGAGTCCTATATTTTGGGCCTGAACAAACAGCGTAATAATACAGTGTCAACTTTAAAAATAAAACAGGCAGTTATTTTATCAGTGAAACGAGTTTATTTAGGATTAGCCAAAGAATTTTAACTCAGGATATACATACTGTGGCAGACCATAGGCAAATCCAACAATCAAAGGAGAGAAATGTTATTTTGTAGAGAATAAGGAGGAAATTGGGACCGGTTGTTTTGAATGAAAGACCATTGGAGAAAAACAAGAGTTCCGGGTGGTGATGGTTTCTCATTGGCTGAGTCGCTGCGGTAGTCGATTTCTGTTTGAGATGCAATGTACATTTCTTCCTGTAATTGATGATTCTTTCCTGTTGACTTCTTTGTTTTGGGGTCTGTAATTAACGATCTTCCTGTTGAGCACTTCTTTCTGTTGGGGTCTGTAACTGACCGTCTTTCCTACAATTGACCTCAAGCAGTACTGCATAGGAGCTTCCCCTTCAAGCCTCTCGACTCCATTTTAAATGAGGTTTCCCTTTATTAATCTTCATATTTCCCCTTTTGATCAAAATCTTTCTCCAAAAAAGATCAAGAGTTGGGTTCTCTGCACATAGTGGTTTTGTCCCTCAGTGCAGCAAGGACCTTTCCTAGTTGTCAAGTCCCACATTGGAGAGAAGGTGCATAGTGGTGGGAAACCATTTAGGCCACATTTGAGTAACAAAAACGGCCAGAAGGGAGAACTCTCAGGCATCTCTTATTCAAAGTTTGTATTTGTCAGAGATCATAAGCATTGGAAATCATTTCAAATTGTTGAGCTAACATCACCTTCTTAGGTACAGCATGTTTACAAAGGTTTGACAGGCAATAGATACAGAGTTGAACAACAAGTACACAAAGCAGGATTAAGAAGAGTACAAGAAGCCCAGTTTGTATGACAGTTCTAAACCAGGAGCCCAGACCTGAGGGTAACCAGCTGAACAAATCAAGACAGTGGATTATTGGGTGGATTTTATTGCAGCAAGTGTGCTTGCTCTCTAATTCAATGTATTGGGTCCCTGCTTCCCCAGAGGTCTTTATCCATGTGCAGCAGGAGGTATTTGTTACTGCACAGACACCTCCCCGTTCAGCAAGTAGTTAATCAAGAGCTATACAGTTATCTGAAACTACCCTGGCCAATGAGTTAAGTGACTGTTTTTGGGTGGCAACTGCTTTGGCTGTGGATCGGCCAACTCTTCTAGTGTTAGGGAGAGATTTCTCATCACTTGTTCATTGGCACTTACTCCAATCCACGAAAAGACAGCTCTCCCTGTGGAGGCAAACCCAAAATCATACACACCTCCCAGAAGTTCTCATTTGAGGCGATTATAGAAATTTAGTGGAACTGACCAATGAGAGGCTTCTAATTGGTTATGCAGGGAGAATAGGGTGGTGAATATGGCAAGGGCACACTGTCCTCGTACTCTCCAGCTGTCAAGGCAATGAGATACCTAAGCATAATGGCTATTGTCAGAGCCTCTGCATATGAAAATGTAAGCAGGAGGTATACACAAGCCTCCCACATAAGTAACAGTATCTGTGGACCCATTCACTGGCATAGAGGTATTAGCACCATTTCACCAAGGCTCAGACATTATGTTGTTACATATTGAGTGGTTTCCTAAATATGTATTTATTGCCTAAATATATTAACAAGTGTACAAATGATACGGTTTACATTAGCCGTGTTACAAAATTTATCATACAAATGTTCATAAAATCTTGCTTTCCCTCCCGAGGTTGGGTTAAATTAAAGCAAGGAACAAAATTAGGTGGGCTTAGCACCCTGACTTTATAAAATGGGCCTGCATAACAATTTAAACATACAATGGCATCTGGGATCCCACTGAAATTACTTATAGGGTGAACTAAGGGGTCATTATTGTCCTGAACAGATCACGGTTTCTGATGGCAAATCCAGCGATCAGAGGTTTCACTTTTTTTCAAGGGATTGGGAAATGCAGAGAAGGGCATTGTCCTTCCATAAAAGAGAAGGAGGAAACAAAGTGAGAGAGAGCAGTGAAAGAAAAGTATACAGGGGGCCGGCCCGGTGGCGCAGCGGTTAAGTTCGCACGTTCCACTTCTCGGCGGCCCGGGGTTCGCTGGTTCGGATCCCGGGTGCGGACGTGGCACTGCTTGGCAGCCATGCTGTGGTAGGCGTCCCACGTATAAACTAGAGGAAGATGGGCACGGATGTTAGCTCAGAGCCAGGCTTCCTCAGCAAAAAGAGGAGGACTGGCAGTAGTTAGCTGAGGGCTAATCTTCCTCCAAAAAAAAAAAAGAAAAAAAAAAAAAAAAGAAAAGTATACAGGCCTGGTCCAGGCATCTTGGGCAAGCTGTCTGCCTCAGACGTCAGCTGTCTCCCTTCCTAGCCAATTTGATTTGGAGTCCCCCAGCGTTTGTACAGGGCTAGACATCAGGTGAAGCCTTCTTTAGCTGTGAGATCTGTACACAAGGCTCGAGTCCCGGAAGTGTGGCTGCCAGCTGGGTGATGAGGAGGACCTAGCATAATGCCTTCCAAGGAGATTTCAAGGGCAGCAAAAATGAGAAATGTTAGTTTGCAGTATCACAGCCAGACATTGAAGGAAACTAGAAGAATTTAGGATCCAGTCTAGCTTACAGGTATGTAACAAAACCCTAAAGACAATTAATAGGACTAGAATTTAATATCTACCAAGGTGAAAACATAATTTCTCTCTCCACAATTACCACCATTTTTATTAAAGATAATCATAGTAAAACAAATTTGTTTGTATTAAACTTGGCCTGATTAGTTATATAAATGTAGCAAAAATAGTGATTGAACATATAAGCTTTATTAAAGATTGCTTTGCTGAAACCTTGTAATCAAGTACTAGGCCAGTTTTTCCAAGCGGTTCCTTAAAGCTGTCTGGTCATTTCTAGCCTATGTACATCTTTCTTAAATAAGACATTCTAGTCAAAGCCTTGGTAATGTAGCCAGCATTTCCAATTGTGTCCTGTTACAAGAAGAACATTGAGTATATGCAAATACATAGATTGCCATGAAAAAAATACTTAAGAGTTTCCAAATTTTGGAGGGATCAGGTAGAGAGAAAAAGATAAATGCGTTAATCCTTGTTGTAATATTTTCGCAAAGGAGAGGAGAAAAGGGATCATTTAAATCCAGTTCAATGTGCTAATCTTGACGTTGTCAAACACCTGCATTCTAGAGTATTTCTCAAGATCTTTTCCATGAATTTCTCTGAAGATAAAATATATTTGCAAAAGCACTAGTGTAAAATAACAACTGTCTGTAAATGACAGAAGACTTAAGAATAGCAATGGTTAAAGATCTGATGAAGGTCCATATAATGGTAAATAAACGTATATAAATTTTCTAGGCATATTACTTAAAGGTAAAGAAGATTTCACAATCTGTTATCAAAAGCTGACTGAGAAAACCTTGTCCTTCTAACAGAAAAGAAAGCCAAATTTTAATTTTGCATCAGTTTATTTTGGTATTAAAATTCTTTTTAATAATTTCTTCTTAATCTTAGCCAGCTTGAACAGACATTAAAATTCTTTTTCCAAGATTCTTTTCAACAAAGCTTATACACTTTTTTTTTACATTTAGATTTTGTCCTGTGTTTTCCTCTTTCCCATTCCAAAATAACCAGCCTCTCTGTAGGACAAAATTATTTTCTTTTCCCTCAACAAAATGCATTTTCATTCTTTATACCTTCTTTTATCAAAACACACATCCTACTTTCCATGCATACTGAGATATTTCCCTTATTATTACATATATTGATTAGAATTCTTAATCCCTAGAATCCTTAATTCACAGTGAAAAACTAAGAAGTAAGTAGTTGTGAGCTATAATTAGTATTTTGTGGCTTGGAGAACTTATAAATACCTTTTATAAGTTTCTAGAAATGTGTCTTTTTTTCATAGAAGATTTCTCAATGTGGCACAAAACATGTTCACTAGTGGACTCAAATATCTTTGTTT